CCCTGCTTCCAGCTGCCAGCCTCCGCTGCCTGGCGCGGCAGGCTTGTGGGGCCGCAGCTTTCCTAATGCAGGGCTACGTGCAGCACAGTCTACGCTCACCTCGTCTTTCTCCTGCCGCACGGGCTAGGAACCGTGGGGCTGGGTGCACAGCGCAATGCAGCCAGCAGCTGCTCATCTCTGGCCGCTCTGCACAGCACCGGGGTCCAGGCGCATGAGCTGCAGAGCCAGGAGCCCCATGTTTCCCCCAGGTGGGCAGGTGTGATGCTAGCAGGCGCTGGGCCAGGTCCCCGAGGGCTCTCCCCGCACTGGTTGAGCCTGCGTTAGATGCTGCGGGCACTGCCTCCACTGGCTTCCTATGTCCTCGTGGTCAAGAGAACGACAGCCAGTATGTAGCCAAATCCCAGCGGAGACAAGGGGCAGGCGGCTTTTCCTATGCGGCGGATCCTCCCTACCCTTGTCTTCAGCTGAGTTCACCTGGTGACGCCACACCGCACGGCCCGTCTGTGTGGATGTTACAGGGAGCATGCTAACGTGCGTGCTGCTCTTGCTGCCAGAATGCACCTTCCTGGGGCTGAGGACGGCTGCAGCTGCATGTGCCAAATGCTTGCTGGCATTGCACCCCAAAAGGAAAGGCCCTGCTGTGTGACAGGGCCGTAAGCCTGACCAGGAGAGGGACCTGCATGCACCCTGGAGATCTGTGGTTTACTGGGAACCCCTGCTCCCCACTCCTCTGGCACCCCCAGCTTGCCCATGGACAGCCAGCTTGTAGCACGTCTCCTGTAACGTACCAAGGGCTGAGGGGCAGTGGGTAACGAATGGCCCCAGCTCTCTGCCTTCCTGGGACTCTGCAGCCACTGTGCCGCATCCCAGGGGACCCGCTCCTGCTCCACCAGGAATGAGTGCAGACGCCAGCAGCCAGCTCCTGGCAGCTATGGCTGTCACAGGTGAGCCCTCATGTGCCATGAACTGGGACTGTTCTCTGCTCTGGGTTTCCAGGCCAGCAGGGCTCATCCTCCAGTCTGGCCTCCAGCACAGGCCAGCCCATGAGGTCTCCCTAGATAGCTCGTGCTTCCAGCCCCTGATGCCAGGGCTTGCCAAAGCACACCTGCTTGCAAGACACGCACCTTGAAGTGACAGCTCCCAGCACTCCTGGGTGACTCGGTCCAACAGCCAACTACTCGCACCACTGAAACCCACTCTGTGTTTGCAGCCTCGGTTTGTCTAGCTGCAGCTTCCAGCCTTTGATCCCACAGCCTGCTGGCTGGTGGACCAGGCAGCTCTCCCGTGATCAGGAGCCTGCCCCAGGTTGCAATCCAGTCACCTCTTGATCGCCTCCGAGGCAAACCGAAGAGGATGCGAGACTCACTGTCTCGCCGTGCACCAGCTCCAACTTCGGGCACACACACGGCAACAAAGAACAACAGAGCGACACGGCTCTGTCCGGACCTGCACTGACCTTGCTTCTCCAGAGTCCGGCTTTCCCCCGTTCCTCACGCCCTGCATCTCCTACGCGCGGTGCCAGTTCACGCAGGTTTAGAAAGCGCTTCTGTCATTAAGCCCTCGCTGGCACTATGTGAATAGCAGCAAGAGAGGCTGGCAGATGCTTATTATTTTCCCGTGCAAGATAATGGGCAGTCTACGTGCACGCTGTCACGTCAGTGACAGACAAAACAAGGGATGGTTCAGGAAAGCGGCGCTGCGGCCCGCGCGGGCTGGGATCCGTGTAGCACTTGCCAGCGCACGTTCGAACACCAGGAAAACAAAGGCAACACATGTTGGCTGCACGGTAGCCAGGTCGGCTTAGACACTGGCTCCGTCCTTCCTCCTTTAAGCCATTCACGATCCCAGCAATGTGCGGTGTGCCATCATCTCAAGGCAGAGGCAGCTCAACTAACTGCCTCCATCTGGCTGCAGCTGTGTCAGGGCACGAGACCCGCCGGAACCAGAGCCCTGCCGTCCCGAGGACGCCGTCTCCCCGCCTCTGCAGAGCAGGAGTCAGGTCAGGATCGAATAGTGCCTGAACAGAGCTTGCTGGCACGTAGCTGTGGGGATCGGGCTAGCTGGCCCTTCCCGAGCTGCAGGCTGCACCGTGTGCTGCATAGCTGCCCAGCATCCAGGGCCTGCCCCAGCACAGGGTCGAGCTTTGCGCAAGTGACGGATCCAGCTGCAGCTGCATGCACAGAGGCACCACTCAGGGGGGTTTCCACAGCTGCAAACACTCCACTCCCACTCCCACCCCCATGCGGGCATCCAGTCCAGACCTGCAGCACAAGGATGCTGGTGGCACTTGCCTCGTTGTGGCACTGGAGAGACTCAGAGATGCCGGTCCCAGGCTGCTCCCACGCCGGGGACTGATGGCTGGCAGCTGCTGTCCTGGCATCTCTGCAACCCATCTGCTGAAGCAGAGATCACCTGCCCTGCTCACCCCAGGCACCCGTGAGGTAGCCGTGGAGTCAGACGGCAGCTGCTGCAATGGGGAGCTGGGCTCACCACGCCTGCCCCTCAGGAACTTGTGGCAAGGCGTTTCCCCAGGCCAGGAAAACATGAGGTGTTTGTTTCACCCCCATGGCCTGCAAACACCCCATCACCTGGACAGCCCCTTGCACCCCGGGCTCATGGCTCTCTTGGGGGAACGCTGGAGGCGAATTAACCACCTTCTGTCGCGGTCATTTCCAGCCTGCTCCAACCCTGCTGTCGCTGGGGTGGACTAATGCAGTCACACCGTTACCATACACGCACACATATGTATGAGCACATGCACGGGGCGCCTGTCTCTCTCGCTGTGCTGTGTTACCCCAAAGACGATGATTTGCCAGCACACTCTTGGTAGGGGCAGAGATGAGGGGTGCAGCCAAACACCACTGTTAACAGGAGCAGAACCAGTCCTCTCCTCCTACAGCAGCTGTGGCACATTTCTCATCACCTGGGAGCAAGCCCATCCTTCAGCCCACGTGCTCCACGCAGCTGATGCAAGCGTCCCTGTTCAGCGGCTTGCACGGAGCAGCGAGGCCTGGCTCTGATGGATACAGAGTCCACTGGCACTTTGTCCTGGGCTGAAGGGATATTCGATCCCGCAGAAGCCTGTGGCACATACATCGCTGCAGCAGCCAGAGAACCCAATACTCCCCGGGAGGACAGAGGTCTCTGGTACAAAGGAGCATTTTTACCTTCTAAGCCAATTCCCTGTACCGTTGGAGGTAAAACAATTACCTCATTACAGTCACACACAAAACTCCTTTCTGGTGGAATTCACATCAGCACTATTGCAACTTTATAATAATATTCATGTTATAAAAACGTCTGCAAAAGAAGCCAAGAAAAACAGCTTTGTGTTCAGAGGAAGCTCTGTGGTCAAGATGATGTCATCAGAAAGCGCCAAATTAATTTCCTGTGGTTACATCCTACAGGAAATCCAAGAAGCTCGGCTTTCTCACAAACCCAAGTAGCCGTTTGTTGTCAATAGCTGCTAATTGTGTACCCAGATGTGTTATAAAATGAAAACTACTGTGATTAGGCTCCATGTCTCTGGATCCTAGAGCACCGAGGCTGGATACCAAAAGCCCTTGGGCTTCTCCTTGAGCCAGCTCTCGCCAGGCTCTGACGCGATGCCCATCATCGCTGCTCTGACGTGGGCGCGCACAACTAAAGCAGGGGCTGGGCTCTCTTCCTGCCCCTTCCCTTCCCTTCCCTTCCCTTCCCTTGGGCACAGTGCTCCCAGCCAGGGCACTGGGTCTGGTCAGCAAACAGCCAGCGCCCGCAGGTCGGGAGCTGGAAGAAGGAGCAGGAGAGACGGTCGTGCAGACAAGGGTCTCAGCATGCACAAGGACAGCAATAAGGTGATGGGTAGCAGCTTCCCAGACTCCAGTGAGTGGAAACCAGGGGTGGCTAGAGAGATCTTCCAGCTGGTAAAATAATCAAGAGATGATCTGGTAGTTCCCTGCCCTCCCCCAGCTTCTCCATAACCCAGTAGAAGGCACATTTCCTACAGATTTATACGATATTTTAAGCAGAAAACGGCACTTGAGGAAACTGGCAACCATCTGAACTGAAAGGTCTCGACCAAGCCTGGGTGGGAAGCTCACACCCGCTGCTCCATCTGGCTCACGGACAACCCCCCCAACCTCAAACCAAGCGAGCACAGGCGTGCTCGACTCGCAGCCCCTCATCTGCAACAGCTGTCATGCAGTCAGGCCTGGCATCCTTTGCCCCAAGAAAGCGCCTCAAGCAGCAAACCCATGTGGATGCCACCCCCCACCCACAAGCCTCTCCCCGTGCCCACTCCATACACATGGCACGTCCTGAACAGCTCGAGACACAAGCTTTGGTTGCTGTAACCTGTACCGTTACAGCTCTATCCTTCTAAGGACTTCACGCAGGCAAGCCCGCGGGACATGGCCTGCTCCTCTGCCCTGGCAAGAGGCCCGTGTTAGCACCCTGGAAGCTGCAGATCAAGCCTGGGAGGAGTGTATCAAGCTATGCCGCCACCACACTCACGCCACCCTGTGTGCTCAGAGCTGTCATTTGCACGTTTAAAAAGATCTTGATGGCACCGCTTCCCTCTCCCCACCCACATGCAGCCTGGTTCAGGCCGACCGTGAGCTCCTGGGGGCAGAGATCCTACTACACACTTGGAAAGGGCACTGCCTGGCCTTGCACTGCTGCAGCCCACACTGGTACCAACCTGGCTGTGCCCAGGCACCCCAGCCATGCTCAGGGCCTCACTCTGCAGGGTGCTGTGCACACCCCCAAAGCACAGCCAGAGGACAGAAGATAAAGCAAAGCCGCAGGGAGGTGGAGACCTGCCCAGGTCACGGGGAAGACAAGAGGCAGACAGGCAGGACCTGGGTCCCCCAAGCCCCGTGCCAATACAGCAGCCACAGACCAGGCTGCCCCTGTAACAACCACCTGGTGAAATGTCAGCAGGACAGAGTCACGCAGCTTCAGGCTTCCCAGAGTGGCAAAGGGCCCCCGCCCCGCAGTCTGTTTGATAAGTGTCCTACCTCTCTGTCCTTGAGTTTCATAGCGAGCACCAGCTGATGCCTGTGGTTAGTGAGGGCCTCTCGGTAGTTTCCTTTGGAGAAGAATGCGGAGCCCAGGTTCCCGTGAGCTCGGCATTCTCCTGTCTGGTCACCTGGGTCAAAGCAAACAAAACAGGCGTCAGGTAACGGAGGTGATGAGGAAGAGCAAAGCACAGCATGAGGAGCACGCTGGGCGAAGGATACTCCAGGGCCACGCGGGGGCCAGGAAGAGCCCAGACACACAGCCAGAGCTCTGTCCCCCCAGACCTCACGGAGGGCAGCAGGACTTCTCTGGGTCACCACCAGGCCGTGGCTCAGCATCACTCTCATCCCGTCTTTGGCCCAGCACATGCCACCAATTTCCTTTTCCCAAGCTCACTCTCTGTTTAAGACATAGGTAACTCATGCCTGTGAAAATGCAGGGCTGGGATTCCCAGGCTTAGGCCGGGCTCCGGCTGGTGAAAAGTGGGCCAAGGACCCCTGCCGAGACAGCCCTCTGCCCTGCCTGGCAGTGTCACGTTCATCCAAGGCACTCCTAAATAAACGACTCCAGCCCGGCAGGCACAGAATAGACTGCAAGCACAAAGTAAAACTGCGCGTGCGTTGGCACAAGCCGACTCAGAGAGAAGTTGAAGCGTCACACGTGCAGATTCAGCACATCCATGTACCTGACACGCAGCACCCTGCTCCTGCCCTCGTGTCCTCGCGCTGCTCTGCCAACACACGCCACTACTGCCCACCACACTCCCACCGCGGGGTGCCTGTCCTTCCGGACCTGGCCCCCATCTCTGACCTACGGCGTCTCCAACCAACAGCGCGCGGCTCTCAAACCTTCCCCAGGAAGCTTCTCGCTGTCACCCTGTCCCTCCCGTTCAGTCCGCTGGCTCCACTCCTGACCAGCTGTGCCCCAGGAGGTGCCTGAGAGGCCAAGGTACCCGAGTACCGCACTCCCCCAATCCTGACAAACACCAGTGGTTTCACTGGGGCCAGAGCACCCGGGCCTCAGAGGGGCTAAGCCGACTGATGAGCCCTTGGCACACGGCACAGGGAGCCCCGGGAGCGCCTCTCTAGGCCTCGGCAGGGAGCTGCCTTGCCAGCTCCACGCACAGATGCACTGTGCTGCTCGACAGGAGCAAACGCAGGGCAGACCTCCGGGGACGTGCCAGCGGCTGGATGGGACGCTGCCCTCCTTCACACCACTGATCTGCTCCTTTGGTATCAACTGGCTGCGAACCGGGGGATGGAGCGAGCGAAGGGAAAACTCTACCTAAAGTCTTGGCTACGTCCAAGTCCTGCTGCATGTATCCGGTGCTTTTCTCGGTATTCCCCAGAGACCAGTAAGCGCTGCTCAGCGCAGAAAACACCGATCCCCTCAGCTTCAGGCTGCAGGTGCCTATCTTCAGGGCGGCTTCCAACACAACCACAGAGGCACCGTGATGGCCTGCGGTCAGGAGCTCCTGGCCAATGACGGACACCACCACAAAGGGGCTCTTGTCCAGCTTCATCTTCTGCAGCTGCTGGTACGTCGGCTCGAGGGACTCTAGAAGAGGGAGGGAAAGCAGGATTACACAACCAGCCGACAGGCACAGAAGCCTCCAGGAGCCAAACAGCCTGCCCGAAGAGGAGGGGACAAATTGACACCGGGACAAATCCAGCCCTTGTCAGACATGTTTTTCAGAGCCCCAAGCAGGAAGCCCATGGCAGCGACAAGGAGAAGGGCGCAGGGCGACTAGCACAATCTCATGGCCCCTCTGCCACCTGGTCTCTCCCTCTGGATCTGGGGGCTCTGGGTGCTGCCGAAAGCTCTGCTGGCAACAAGCCCCTCACAGTAGAGAGCTGCATGGCAGCCCCTCGCTTGGGTCCGGAGACCAAGCCGGTCAACGGGGGACAAGCAAGGAGGCTGCTGCGTTCTGCAGGGCAGAGAGGAAACGGGCCAGGATCGGCGTGCCACAGGCACCGCATTCTTGCTGCTGCATGAGAAGCATTCAACAGCACATCTAGAAATCCCAGTGCCCGCTGGGGTGCTGCAGCCTGGCACTGGATGCCCAGAGCCTGAGACAGGGGAGAAACAACAGGAAGGGGAAAGCGGCAAGGACGGACCTGCTCAAACCATGGGCCACGTATGGGCCGTAGACACCCGTGGGTGGTGGGCACCATGTTGATGTCCAGACTGCACCTTGCGGAGCCCCCGCTGGTGCCAGACTGCAGTAATAATTAGTCTAATTGGTTTTACCATCCACGTTACTCCTTCTGTTGTGCATCCCATAAAGGGCGGCAATAAGGTTGGGCTCTTAACTCTGCACCGCTCCATCCAACCATGCTGCATTAAAATGTAATTTTTAAAATTTATGACTGAATCGCATTTCTCAAGGAGGCTGCTCTCGCCTGAATCAACATTACCACAGCAACCTCAAAAAGCCATTTGTGCCCTGTTTCCATCATTCCTGCTCCCCGGCAATTACTGAGCATGTGTACAAGGAGCAGAGTGCATTGTAACGCCTGCCTGGCGGCGAGCAGGCTGGCTAGGACGTGTATGACGAGCGATAACCCGGTCATACAGCGGGTTCAACATGGACAGCAGGAGAGAGACTGCTCCAGGGTCCTGCCTGACAGGGGCCATGGCCAGATGCAGCAAGGGAAGGCATGAAGCCACCGGGATGCGCAGCTTTTCCGACAGGCCTGGGACCGGGGGCCACGCAGAAATTCAGTCCCTGCCCCCAGGAGTTTACAGTCTTAATTTGACGAGCAGCCAAATGCACAGGGGAGGGGCCTGCAAGGGAAAATATCACTGAACAAAGGGAAGTGAAATGTCATCCCTGGAAAACGAGTGAGGAGCAAGCGGTGTCACGTGGGCTGCTCCATGCATGACGCCTTTGCTTTTGCAGCCACCCTCTTGTCAGGGGGAGCAGGCCAGGCCACGTGGGGCAGCTGCAGGAAGGAAGCCAGGGCGCGTCATGGCTTTCGTGGGCCGCTGCCTGGGGAGGGCAGCGCTGGGCCAGGGCTGGGCATCCGCAGCTGATGGATGCATTTCACCTAGGAATGGCCTGGTCTCTCCCACTCTCTTCCTGCAGCTTTTGGGATCCTGACCTCCCTGTGCTAAAGATGCTGGACTTGTCCCAAGGGATTGGAGGACTGCTGTGGCTCGTAGGGGGCCCCATGGGCAGGGGTGCTGCCCAGCTACACCCAGGGCACTGTGCAGAATGAGCACCAGAGGCAAAGCATCAGTGAGCTCAGCACCCATCGGCACCGATCTTTTAAGCAGCAGCAGCTCAGAGTGAGGAAGGTAATTAGTCTGGGCGGTAACCACTGCGCTGAGAAAGCCCCAGACTAATTCACCTCGGAGGGAGGGAGAGAAAATGCTGCGAAGAGGAACCACTGGCAAGGAGGTTTTCTTATTTCAGCTGTTTGGCCTCCAAGCCCCAGAGCTCCCAGCAACATCTGCTGAGAGTCAGAGCTGATCAGCACCGAGCTCCCCGCTGGGAAAGGCCATTAGACCACTCCAGAAAGAGAGCTTGCAAAAGAAACAGATTAGAAGCAGTGCAGAGCGGGGGGAGCTGCCTCCCCCAACCAGGGGAGGTGAAGGCCCCTCTGCCCTGGGCAAGGGGACGTTACGGGCTAGGGGGCTCAAATCATCCCAAGCTCCAGGCTGTTTCCTGGAGAGACCCCGATCAGCAGCACTGGGCTGCGGGGTGTCAGCAGGCACAAAGGATGCGTGAACCCTCTTGCAAGGCACACAGAGGCCCCAAATGCTCACGGGTCTGTTCACCCCCCGCAAAGCAAATCGGGCACACGGACGCCCTGCAGCATCGTGGGCTTGTGCTGGAAGAACAGCAGAGCCAGCACGGCACGCTGGTCATGGCTGCCCGGTGCTTACCTCGCATGGGAGACTTCATGGCGGCTTCCACCATCCCAACCAGAAGCTGCAGGCTCTTGGGGTCCTGAGCCAACCCCGACGCGAAAGCTGCCAGTGCATCTGCATGGCGCCCAAGGTACTGAAGGGCAACACCCTGTCGGAAGTATGCCTGCAAAGACAAGAGAGCGTGCCTGGTTACTGACCCGCGGCAGGCACACAGCCACTGCTGCTCGCCCTGCCCTCGTGCCAGGAGATGTGGAGGCTGCCGAGCACAGCGCAGCTGCCCTTCCAGGTCAGGCCCAGACCAGGAAACCTGAAGCTGCCATTTGGTTCCCTCAGTCCCTTTGCTCTGGGACAGCTCAGCCAGCCCTCGGAGGGGCTTTCATGTGCTGCCACAGAGTCCGGCAACCGTCCCTGCCATTTAAACCCAACATCTGCTCTCAGATCTGGCTCCCCACTTCTTCTCCAAGCCCTTGGGCCCTCTTGCTCGACCATGCGAGTGCAAACCTTCCCTGCCCGCCAGCACCTGCTGAGGAGCCAGTCCCAGGTAAACCATCGTGTAAGGTGCCCAGGGAGAAACTGCTTCAGGATGCACAGACACCTGCCCCGTCCCCCAGTGCCAGGACTATTGGCAGCATAACCCAGGCTTGCTCCCCTTGCCTCCATTATCACCAACGATGAGCAAGCACCCCTTAGTAACAATCCCTCCTAATCGCTGCTCTTTTGTACTCAAAGATGGACGCTATATTCAGACCCGCTGAGCAACTGGCCCCAAAACCCGCTTCCCCACCTCCATCCAGACTAGCCGTGCTGGAGCCCCCCGACACAGCACCAGGGCCACGTGCAACGAGAGGTGCTGGCAGAGGCGGACGGGCACACATGGTTCTTCCGGCACATGTAGGTTGGGCTAATTTCAGAGGGAAGGCTTCGACGGGTGCAGGAAGGACCAGAGCGCCACAGGGAGCCAGCCAAGGGATGGGCACAGGGACACGGCGCTGGCCACGCTGAAGCGGGTGGACTGGACACGAGGAGGCGGCGGCAGCGGCCAGGAGACCAGTTACAGCAATCCAGGCAAGAGGACTGATGCCAGGAGCAGGGCTGACGGGGACTACAAGCCAGGGATTTACAGGCGCTCACGCTGGGCCCAGCCGCTCTGCAGCCAAGTGTGCTTCCAGGCGCTTCGCTCTACTTTTTCCGTCCCACACTTTTCCCGTGTCTCCCCAGAGGCTGCATGGGGGAAGTCGCAGGAGACGCAACCCTGCCTTGCTGATAGTCCAGAGGAAGCATCACGCCTCTAAAGCAGACCTAGTCCCTCACCACTGCTCCGTCCCCTCCCAAATCAGAAATAGCACCGACATGCAAATGCCACGACCAGCGAGCAGCCCCGGGACCTGCGCATCCCCCGACAGGCGCGCAGAGCAGCGAGAGCAGACGCACGCTGGCCCACGCAGCGACAGCAAAGTGCCCCCAAAAGCAACACAAAGTCCGGTGCTGGCGAGCTGCAGGGAAGCAACCGTGAAAACGCCTGCCCACGCAGCGCAGATGCACTTGTGACGGTCGAGGCTGAACACTGATCACGTTAATAATTCAGAAGCCTCGATGTCTTTGTTATCAAAAGCTGCACTGCTCACCAGTAACCCTTTACCACCCCGCCTCACAAACGCCTCCCTGCATTCACTGCCCGGCCTGACCTCTGCCAGGACTTTAAGTACATCCACCCCAGAGCGTACAACAAACCCAGTCAGCGAGAGCCACCAATTCCTTCCCACAGGCCACGAGCAACGCGAGGAGAAGACGGTGCCCCAGTCAGGTCTACTCCCCGCCTTGGCTCCACGGCTGGGGCTGCCAGCTCTCCCCAGACCGGTGCACCAGCCTTGCTGTTCCTGCCTCCCACCTAGACCAGAAACTGAACCTGTGTTCAAGGTACATTAAGTAGGCACACGTGGAAGTCTTTCTTACTCAAACAGGATAGATCTGCAATTAATATCCAAAATGGCTTTTCATTAGCGCTTTCAGGAACTTTCAGAACCCAGCCCATGGAGGCAGAGATTAAGGAAAATCAGAAATGACACAGGAAATTTATAGACATGAATATTTAATCTCTTTTCCATTAGCAAACGTTGATTGTAGAACCATTTTTAATGAATTGGATGGAGGCAAAATTCATTTCATTAACCTTTAGTATAAATGTGTTCTTATTGAACCAAACAGGCCACTGTACTGGAAACCCAGTTCAATGTTAATTAGATTAGAGGCACGATTCTTTAAATCAAGAAAAGCCCAGGAGCCTGCAGCACACAGTGCACAGCAGGTGCACTCAGAGCATTGTCCTGTGAACCCAGGTGTGAGGCTTGGGGTCCTTGGCTTCCCTGATGGCCTTCTCTACCGCTCGATACACCATGCAGAGATGGATGAGCTTGCAGGTCCAAAAAGCCACAGTAGCCAAGGATGCCTTCCAGGCCAAGGCAGCTGCATCACCTGCACAGGACACGCGAGGCAGGGGGCCGAGGAAAGGGCTGTGTGTGCATGTGCTGCAGCGGTCAGGCAGGGGAGCTGTGCCATGAAGGGTTTGCAGAATACCACAGCGGAGAGAGCTGGCCCGAGGACAGGGGTGTCAAGGCATTTGTACTGATTATGTTTTAAGGAACCTCAAGATAAGCAGAGCAGGGAGATGTAGGGACTTGGTCACAGTCGAGGCCGAGCTCAGGCCTGCACTGCGAGCTCACGCAAGCTCACCCTCAACTGCAAGCCAGAACCTCATCACTGCCATGGCTATCAGACACCACGGCCAATACAGCCTGAACACGTGCTGGCTCACAGGGAACAGCACCAGGGCTCAGTCGCGCCACATCACCCTAAACAGCACCGAGGGGCAGGGGACCCGTCCCGTGCATCGTGCTTCTGCCCCGCTTCTTCCTGCAGGCAGAAGGGACCAGGATGGCCCCAGAAACCCAGGATCACACGCATGGAAACACCTGCAGAGACGAGAGCAGCCCCTCTCAGCAAGCTGTCCATCCGCACGTTCAGAGCGAGAGGCCAGAACTGACCACGTGCTCCCCTCTTGGGCCATCCTGTACGTCGCCGGCCACCCCACCTCGCCCGTCACTCCTGCAGCGCCCAACGGCTCTCATTAGACCCAAGTGATTCGGTCCCCAGGTGCCTGAGCAGTTGCGTGGCACAGACCAAGGTTGCTGCAGCGGTGGAGGGGCAAGGCGAGGCGAGGCGAGGCGATTTGCCTGGATGGGCCCAGCAGGCAGGTGATGCTGCTCCGTAACACAGAGGTGAACCCCCCACCATGGCTCCTGGCAGGGGAGGAAATCCTCCTTTACTCCAAATCTGGCAATGCGTTTGACCCTCAGCATGTGAGCGAGGCACCTCCTCAAAGCACTGGCCTCCCCGCCCGGCCTTCTGCTGCCAGCTGTGGCTAAGCTTTGATGCTTTGGAGAAAAGAAGAAAATGAAAAGCCTGCATGAGCCAAAGGGGAACAGATTCCTGCCTGACCCACGCCAGCAGCCGGCTGAGGCCCAGCACTGCGAGATCTGATTACGGTCGGTCTCAGTGCAGAACTACACGCGCTTCGGGAGCGGGGGGCATCGCAGACAGGCCTGCATCCCCCCCCGGGCTCACGAGGGAAGCAGGTGGACAGGCAGCCTGCAGACTCCCTGGCCCAAGGCTTCAACTGGACCTCCGTGGACATCCAGTCCAGCCCTTCCTCCCTCCCACGCTCGCAAGCCAGAGAATTTCTCCTAGAATAAGGGATAATTTGCTGCTACGCTGCAGGTGTGGCAATTACTGCTCATGTGTCCCCCTGAGGAACATGAGAAATCCTTGGATAAGTGCAGCAGGGCAGACGGACAGCAGACCTCTGCGACTCTTGGCCGCAACCCTGACTGCCAGCACGTGCGAGCTGCCGCACGAGAGCAGGACCGGATGCCGTGGGCTGCGCGTACCCAGCTGCAAGGGGCTTTGCCCACCGCCACTCGCCTCACTGAGAACAGCAGGGACTTGGGGCTCCAAGACACCCGCCTCGGCGTGCTCACGGGTCTGCACACACGGGTCTCATCCCACGAGCCTCCAGTCCAGATGTGACATGCAGCAGACGAAGCCAGGCCAGGGAAAGACTGCAAGCATCCCCTCTCAGAGTCATCCCACCATGGCCTTGCTGGAAAAAGCCTCCTTTCCCTGCAAGCCCTTCTGGAAGCCGCTTGATTTCAATACAAACAGCACTTGCAGGCCAGGAACAAAAGCCCATAAATCATCGCTGGAGAAAGGTTTCCTGGCCAGATGACTCACTGCAAGGAGCCATCTCTCTCGGTGCCGGCTCCTGCTGCGCCGTGGCCACATGCAGCTTTCTCCAGAGCTTTTTGCAAAACCAAAAAAAACAAAAACAATAAAGTGTTTCACATCTTCTGCGTTGTCCCTGGGAGACACATTCGTGAGTTATTTCAGGGCTGGAACGAAGATACCACAGCAAGGAAAAATCTGCAAACAGGAAATAGGGCGAATTGCGTTTGGGGAGAAGAGAGGAGAGGAGAGGAGAGGAGCCAGGAGCTGCAGCTGAAGCCACGAGACAAGGGGCTGTTTTCCAGGCCTTGATCTGGAGACTCTTCCCATTCCTCAGTCAAGGACGCAGCCCTGCCCAGCTCTGCAAGGTACATGATTGTGCGGTCTCCATTACAGCAGAAAACCACGTCTGTGAACCTGGGATCCCAAATCCATCGATTCCTTTGACTCAGTTTAAACCGGCAGCAGAACGAGGCGCTGCAGAAGGGAGAAGGATGAGCCGAGCCCACAAGCAAGACCGCGGGTGCGCTCTGACCCTGCCCTCCCACCCCGCGGCAGCTCGGCTCTGCTCTTATCCCAGTGCTCCAGGGCTCAGCGACCGCTGCCCTGGGGCCGCGCAGCCAGGGACCACGTGCCTCAGAGGATGGTAGAGAACCGCTGTCATTGTCACTGTTCCAGTGCTGGACACTGCTACCCACCTGAAGAGCCACGTCTTGCTTGTGCTACTCCAGCAAAGCTCCTGGCCTGCACACGCTCCTGCAGCGGCGAGTTCCACGGCTACCGGCGTGCTGCAGAGAAGCGCTCCCTTTGCTGCACCTGCCACCTCTCACCGCACAGCTCAGGGCAGAAGGAGTGACAGGACCTGAGCTCGCTCCTCTCCTGCAT